AAAGCTAATTGATAAAATTTCCTCAAACGTGAACACTGATAATCTCTTCATAATTTTGTCACTGTATTTTTGAGTAGCTAGTGGGAAACTAAACAGGATTTAGCCTATTACATGGAGTTGAAGGCTAAACACACTTACTTATAAGATGCATACTGAACAGCAAAACCATAGAGGTTTTAGATAGATGGTCTTATTAGGTTACCCATTACAGCATGCAGAATCGGACCATCACTCTCACCTTGCAACTCAAGGAGTCTGTCATTTTCCCATGAATAATTAGTCATGCATTCAACATTATTTATTAAATGCCTCCTAGGTGCAAGACACACTCTAAGAGCAGTGAGAAGTAGAAAGTCAAGTCAGGTGAGAATTTGCCCTCAAGGATCCTGCAGTCTAGTAGAGAGCTATTAGGCATAAACATGAAAAAAAAAAAAAAAAAAAAAAAACCATAGATGTATACAATTGTGAATCCAAAGGGGAGTCATGAGGAAGGTGACTTACAGTTTTAGGATGGGGGCAACAGAGCACAGAGAGTGGCCAGAAAGAGAGAATCAGTCAGAATAAGGCATGCTTTATGATACAGTGCACCTCCCAAAACATCAGCCTATTTAGAGGACAAGAAAAAGAGAAAGCAAAAGGAAGTGGAATGCTAAAAGATGCATTATACATTCCCACCTCTTTGCCACCATTCTTTGTCAAATCTGTTAGTTACAGTGGCCAGAGAAAACAGAAATAATCCAGCCCCAACATGGTAGAAATGTCAAACAGATTAATGTTAATGTCTCTGTGGCTGTACAGTTTTACAAAAGGTACCCAAAGCAAGAAAAGTCACCAACATATACTTGAGTGACATACTGAAATAAGTGACATGGCATGGAAATCTGCACACAAACAATAAAGTGATCGGGACGGTGCTGTGCTCTGCCTGGCAACCCACTGGCTTCTTACGCTCCTAATACACAGACGGCAAGGGACAGTTTTCCATAAACTGCAACTAGCAACTAATGAAACCGCTGAAGGGAAAGACATGACAGGGTTAAATTTTAAACTTTCACTATCTAGTAGCAAATGGCTAATAAAATTCTGGCTTCTGTGCCCAAGCTTACCTACTATACAATGGTAACAGCAGGAGTGTTGATATTGCTAACTAAGACTTGTTCTGATAGGCTGTATTTTGGTATGCTCAACATGGCATTTCAGCATCATTACCAGCTTTGACTTTAACCAAACACTATACATGTAAAAATTTACAGGTAGGTAAACTAATAAATTGATTTTTTTTTTCTTTCTAAAAATTTTTATTTAAGGTTTTTGCCATAGGGTGCATGCACTCACCAGAGAGAGAGATAGGAAGAATTAAAGTGAGAAATCCCCCCAACTCGGGGGGGATGGCCACTTCGCAATACTTTCACCTCTATCCTCTTCCTGGGATCTTGAGCACACACACATGTGCGTGTGTTCACATGCACCTGGTGTGATTTTTAAGCCACGAGGTGGACTCAAACTACAGCCAGCCCAGCTGTGGGAGTCCAGTGCCTTAACCATTACACCACCTGCTGTACCCCATTAAAGTGATTCTTTGATAAGAATGTCATCTCAAATTTTAGGGGCTATCCTTAGGTCACCCAGCATGCATATTATCAAATTATAAATCAGTTTCTGTATCTGTTTATATGCCTACTAGTGTTACATCATGAGGGATAGTACTCGTGAGTGTTATCTTAATAAGAATGATGTACTTGCAATGAACAAATGGCTTACTATTTAATTATTTTTTTAAAGAATTAATTTGCTTAACTTTATTTATTTATTTATTTATTTATTTTAATTTGACCAGAGAGGGACAGAATGGGGGGTAGGGGTGAGAAAGTAAGCCGCCAGATCCAAGACTCAAACTGCCGTCAGCTATGTGGGAGTTCAGAGCCTTTAACCACCAAACCACCTGCTGCCCCCACTATTTAACTATTAAGAATAGTAGTACTGGGGACCAGCAGGTGGTGTGGTGGTTAAGGTGCTGGACACTCCCACAATGGCTGACCATGCTTCAAGTCCCAGACCTGACAGCTGCTTTCTTTCTCTTTCTTTCTCTCTCTCTCTCTCTCTCTCTCTCTCTCTCTCTGTGTGTGTGTGTGTGTGTGTGTGTGTTTCTCTAGACAAATTAAAATAAATGAATGGGTAAATAAAATTAAAAAAAAAGAATAGTATCACAATGACTAAAAAAAAAAAAACCTTTTGTCAAAAACACACACACACAAATTGTTAGTATGTTCTTCTTTCCTTGAAAGTAAATGCATAGTGCCTGGGACCAGAAGAGGGCATAATGGCTACGTTGCTGGACTCCCATTTAGGCAACCACAGTTCGAGTCCCAGATCCAGCAGCTTAAACTCACTCTGGGCACATGCGCGTGAATGCCCAAGATCCCAAGAGGAAAATGGAGGAGAAGGGATTGTGGAGTGGCCATCCCCCCGGGGGGATGATTTCTCGCTCTCTGTCTCTCCGTCTTTCGGGCAAGCGCATGCGCCCTATAGCAAAAATCTCTCAAAAAAAAAAAAAAGTCATAGTGTCAACTAAGACTTTACTAAAATTCTCCAAGTAGAAAAAGCCATTTTGGACTTGGAGAGAGGACAGAGTAAAATGCTACCTATCCTTAGTTTCACTATATCCTTAAAAATAAGTCCCAATATTTTTCATGATAAAAAAAAGAAATTTTTGGTTTTTTTAAAAAAAGTCAGTACTGTAAAGACATATGTGATTAAATGTAAATTAAAATAAAAAATTTTCTAAAAAGGCTTAGTTTCTAAGTCACACAATATCCTGAAAGAAGCTTCTTGATAGATAATTATTCCACACATCAGAATCTTAATTATTCGGAAAACACAATCAGGGAATTCCAGAGCTGAAAGGGACTTCAGAGCCTGTTTAACACCTCTTTTCATTCTGCAGTTGCGATGAGGTGGTAACATCTGAGACACTAAGTGATTTGCCCAAGTTTTACAGTTACCTAATAGCGAAAGCAGTACTAGAGGCTACATCAAATCTCCATGAGTATATGATTCCTAAACAGGCAACATCATTTGTGATCAATGCATAAAATTATAAGATGTAACACACTGGTTTATATTTCATTTACATCTTCGTCAAAAAAAGATGTTGGAAAAGTCTCTCTCTACACCATACAACCTTATCACCAACACAAAAGTAGCTTACACAGACTGCTAAGCTCAAAGTTAAAGAGGATAAGAAAGGAGCCCACTGGCAAAAAAAAAAAAAAAGTCATTTTTGTTCCTTTCTTTTTTTTTTAATTCTAGTAAACATCACGGTTAAAAATAAAGGTCTACATTGGGGGAAAAAAACGGAATGTGCAAGTCCATGCAGCTAACGAATACACAAATATTATGTCATGTGCCAAATGGTAAATGTGGCGCATGTTAGATGTGGAAATATCACCATTTCAATCATCACAGGGAAAAACGGTCAGGCATGAATCACCAGTGAATGCTAAATCCAGGGGAAATTGTTGACATAAAGCATATTTGCTTTGCCTGAAAGTATCTCCCCACAGATTGCTTATAGACTGCTAGAGAAAAAAGTCATTAGCTACAGTGGAAAATTTAGGTAACCCCTTGATTTGGTGATCAAAATTGACATTAGAGTGACAGGTGGATGGACATCATAAACCTGAAGACATCATACACTGAGAGGACATGATGCCACCAAAGACATCCTCCTTTAAAAATAAATTTTTAAAATATGTCAATATTGTAGGATCAGTAGACGGTGTAATGGCTACGTGGCTGGACTCCCATGTAGTTGACCACAGTTCAAGTCCCGGACCTGGTGGCTTAAACTCACACCGGTAGTGTTTGCGTGTGTGCCCAAAATCCCAAGAGGAGAATGGAGGAGAAGATATTGCAGCATGGCCATCTCCCCTGGGGGTTGATTTCTCGCTTTCTGTCTCTCTGTCTTTCTCTGTTTTTCTGGCGAGCACACACACCCTATAGCAAAAACCTCTCTAAAAAAATACAAAAGTCAATGTCATAAAAGACAAATAGGTGAAAATATTCTAGATTTTAGAAGTCCAAAAAGATAGACAATTAAATGCAGTACAAGACCCAGACTGAATCTATCATGGAGGAAAAAAATATTTTCAAGGACAATATTGAGTCAATTACTAATACTGAAATACAGATGGCAGAGAAGATAGCAGGACTGTATCAGCTCTAAGTTTACTCACTTATAACTGATAACAAAGGACTATGTTACATACACCGCTTACTCTCAAATAGTTAAAAAATTGTATATGTGTATATGCATGCATACACACAGAGGTATATACACATATTTACACAGAAAGCATAAACAATAAAGCAAATTGGACAAAATGTTAGTAGTCAAATCTACGTAAAAAATAAAGTGGCATTCTATGTATTTTTCTTATGACAAATTGGCATCTTTTTTTTTTATTTTTGCAATGTTTTTTTAAAGAATTATTTATTTTATTTGTATTATTATTTTTTTAAATTTGACCAGAGAGAAAGAGAGACAAAGGAAAAGTGAGAGAGCAAGCCTTTTTATCTGCTTTGCCCCCCTTTTTACACAGTGACCAGAACTATAGATGCTTTATAAACACTGACTGAATGATGAAAGGTTTGGGACTCAAACCACGGTCAGCCGTGTGGGAATCCAGCACCATAACCACTGTGCTACCTGCCAGCCCCTATTTTTGCAACTTTTAAAATTATTATTTTTAAATTACTACCAAATAAAGTTTTTAAAAAATGCCTAAAAACATTTTTGCTTATTTCAGAGGAAAGGTAAAAGTGGAGACAAATGGAAAGAAACCCTTCAAATTGGGTAGGACTGAAAATTAGCACAGTGAAAACAGGGAACTTCACATCGCTAACCCTGTGCTTAACGTTACATGTGGGTGAGTTTACATCTAGTTAAATGAGATCATCCTAAACAGACCCCAGGAAAGGGCGAGTTAGAGCCTACTCACCAGGCTGGCTGTGAGCGAGGGCGCCGACTGGCCCAGGGCCTGGCTGCGCATGCGCACAAGGTTGGACGTCTCAGCTGAGGCCTGCCAGGCCTGCCCAGCCGCTGGGTTTGGAAGCAGGTACCTCCCTGTGGGGTTAAAGAGAAGAAAAGGTAAGTGGCAGGCAGACGGTAGTAGCTTCGTGGCAATGGTGGGTCTCTTTCCAGCCATCATTATTTATTACTTTCCCCATACTTGGTAATTCCATTATTAATAACGACCAGAGAAAAAGTGCCTTAATTATGTCAGGAAATCCGGGGCAGATTCTGACCCTAGCTTCCTGCATACACCTAAATAAACCTCCTCATCTCTTTCCTGTATAGCTTCATTAGGGCCTGATGGAGTGTTTTTTTCCCCACCTTCCTGTTCCAAAGGAATAATGCACAAGGAAGTTTCAGCAACACAGAAGTAAACGTGTGTTTATTAATGTCAAAAAAAAAAAAAAAAAAAAATCCTAACATGGAAAGTGCTCTAGGAATCAACTACAAGAGTCTACAAAGTGGAGACTGTGACCAACAAAAGAAAGTCGTGGAATTCTTTCAAGGTGAAAGGGTGCTGAGGCCCCTTCCCCCCAGCTCTCTCTCTGAAGAGCAGGTGGTCACCCAACCGTGTCTGCAGGATACATAATGGTATCCATTTGCATAAATCAGGACATCAATGTCAGTCGAGGTTCACTGAGCAATTTCCATCAACCTTGAACTCTAAAATATACATGTATGCCTTTCAAAGTCAAACAGCTGAACCGGTGCACACTGCGTTACTTCCTTGGGACATGGACTAGTTTAGTATCAACACACAGAGAAATGAGGCTTTTTGACTTCAAAAAGGTTAGGATGGACATGAATATTCACATACCAATAAAGTTCAGAAAAAGCAGAGGCCGAGTTTGATTTTTATCTGCTTTGCTCCCTGCTCCCCTTCTTACACAGTGACCAGCCCTATAGATGCTCAATAAATATTGATTGAATGATGAAAGGATAAGGGGGCATTCCCTTCCCAGAACACATGCAAGAACAATAAAAAGATGGCAGGCACCACCAGAATCCATTCCAGGGCCATGTGTGTGGGGACTCCAGCTTCATTGCTCTCCAGGATCATGAGGGATTGCCACGTGCATGGCACATGGCCGTAGGGCACATATGTTCTTTGTTTTTCCCTCAGGCATGCACTTCACAAGTGTACCCCACTGGTGCATAACCACCGCAGCGTCTTAACTGGCTTAATGTTACTGCACTTGCCAGCTACCAGAACTATCAAAGCACAGGAGATAAGGGTGTCTCCATCAACTGTCCATGTTAATAGGTCTAATACTTTATTTAATCTGAGTGCTTTTAGAAATTTAGAAATATGGCTTATTTTGCCGCTCTGTGTGAAGCACATACTAGAAAAAACTACTAATAAATCTGCTTTTGAGATTGTGCCCTAGAGCTGACTGATACTGGAGAAGGAAGTGAGCAAACTCTCTTGGTCTTGGTTTTTCCATCTCCAAAATGGAAATGAGAGAGTTATGTCAAGTGGCTGAGGAGATTACGAGATATTATGAGTAAAACATTAAGTAAATATTAGCTTCTTAGCCATAGTAGTAAGAAAAAAATTAACTTTTTTTTTTTTTTTTGCTTGGATTGGTTTCTTGTCATTCACAAGTAGAAAATGCAAATATATACTAAGAAAAAAATTACCTATGATTATACTGGGATAACATTGTCAACATTTCAGTGATTTTCCTTCAGACTTCCCTTCTATAACCTGTATTTTCTTGCAAAAAAAAAAAGAAAAAAAAAAGAAAATGGAACCATACTGATTTTTGTCACCTGTTTCCCACAAACCCCACATAATAGATATTATGACCTTTCCTAAGCATATATGGCAAATGTCATTTAATTGAAACATAAACCCTGTCATTTAAAATTCAAATACAATTACCCTCTTGCGATTCTGATCACTATTTCAAAAACAGTCAGATATATATTTCAAGAAGAAATATGGAGAGAATTTACTCTAGCCTAACTGCTCTTCTTTTTTTTGGAGAGGTTTTTCACTATAGGGCATGTGCGCTCGCCAGACAGACAAGAGAGAGACAGAAAGTGAGAAATAACCCCCCAGAGGGGATGGTCATGCCGCAATCCCTTCTCCTCCATTCTCCTCTTGGGATCTTGGGCACGCATGCACACGTGCCCGGCGTGAGTTTTAAGTCACCAGGTCCGGGACGCGAACCACGGTCGACTACATGGGAGTCCAGTGACTGCTGGTTCCCAACGTAAATGCTTTTCTGACCCAGATGTTTCATTTTAAAGAAAATTAAAGGTAGACAAGAAACTCCTTGGAGAATTTAATGTAATAATGGACAAAAATATTTAAAAGAATTATTTAATTTTATTTATCGTTGTTATCATTACTTAATTTGCTACAAGGCACATGCACTCACCAGAGAGAGAACGAGAGAGAGAAAGAGAGAAAATATGCCTCCAGGTCCAGGGCTCGAACTGTGGTTGGCAATATGGGAGTCCAGTGCCCTAGCTACCATACCACCTGCTGACCCAAATAATGAAAAAAAATTTTTTAAGAGAGATTTTTGCAGCAGGCCATGTGCACTTGCTGGAGAGACAGAGACAGACAGAGAAACAGAAAGGTAGAAATCACACACACACTCCGCGGGGGTGGCCTTACCGCAATCCCTTTTCCTCCATTCTCCTCTTGGGATCTTGGGCACATATGCACACGTGTCAAGTGTGAGTTTTATGACACTGGGTCCAGGACTCAAACCACAGTCAATTATGTGGGAGTCCAGTGATGTAACCATTCTGCCATCTGCTGGTCCCAATAATGAAAAATTTTAAAGGCCAAATATTTTAGTTTACTGAAGAATTCTACGCCATCAGTCTTTTTTCTTTTAGTAGAAAATAACTGTTGGACTGACTCCCTATAACCCCCTAATGTGAACAAACAGGTTTATTCATTTCTATATCCCTAGTATTTGGCATAGGGCATGGCACTTAGCAAATGTTCAGTAAATGTTTGTTGACTAAAATTCAGTTAAACTATACTGTTTGAATAATATTTGATCACATCTAAACAGGAAAAACACTAACAAACAGACCATTTTCTTAAATTCCATTTGTTAGTACAGCATAACAACTAAAATATATTGAGGCCTCTGTGTATGGTAGGCACTGCGACCTCCTAAGAACCCTATAGGATAGGTATTACAATTTTCACTTTAGCCCAGAAAGGTCACATACTAGGCAAGGACATAAAGCTAAACACTTGGGCAAAACCAGTATTCTGATTCCAAAGCCCAGATTCTACCAAAATAAAATACTCATCACGGGACCAGCAGGTGGTGTGGTGATTGAGGACGCTAGACTCCCACATGGCTGACCATGGCTCAAGTCCCAGACCTGGC